CGTGTATTAATTGAACTTTATTCTGAAAAGAAGATCATTTTCCTGTGCTTCATTTTATATTTATATATTTTTTAAATGCTACATACTTTCCAAATTTCATTTTTTGATTACTATTCCTTCAAAAAATTTCACGAAAATGAAGTAAAAGAAAAATTGGAAGGGAATATGATATAGACTTCGTATTTTTATCCCCATTTTGTTTTTCTTTTCTTTTTTTTCTTTTTTTTGTTTTATGTTATAATACCAGTCTTTAAAGTTTATCAAGATTTGAAACTGCAAATAAAGAGAAATTGAATTGATGAGTTTTATTAAACATTTTGTAGCACACTTCCTCTTCGCTTTTTGTTATATCTTTGACAACTCTCCCTACTTGTTTGGACTTTGCTTTTCCCTTATTTTCTCTCTTTTTCCTTTTTTTTTTTTTAAAAAAAATTTTCGTGTTAGAAGAGTGCTTTTCAAATTGAGCTTAAATTCGTATCAAATTCTCTTTCAAATATTTTTGAATACCTATGTGATACTTAGTCTCCTATCCTATCCTATCAGTTTAATCGGTTTAATAGAAAAGGAAAATTTTCTTATCTCTTCTTTCTCTTATCCTATTTAATTACTTTTATACATTTAATTTGTACAATACGGCTTTTATTCTCCTGTGAAAAACAAATGCATGTTTGGAGAAAAAAGAAATTTTGCTGTCAAATGCGACGATTAATGGATGAAATGGAATGATTTAAAAGAAAGAAAAATTCCGATTATTATTAATGATTAGTTTCTTCGATTCAGCGATTTCTATCAACACTTCCGGTTTGTTCTACATGTTATTTAACACTCTCATCAGAACACATCGTCATCACATGTATCAGATATTACTAACATTTAAGGTAAACAAAAGGAAGAAAAAGCTCTAGTTATATATGTGTGTTACCAATATATGTATTTTTCTTTTTTTTTTTTCAATTTCTCTGATTACAATTTGTTTGTTTGTTTTTGTTTATTCCTTACTTTTTCTCTCACTCCTCATTCAATAATAAAACTCCCACGTTTTTTACATCCTTATTCTTTCTTCCTTTAATACTTCAATATATAAAAGTTTTGTGTTTTATTTTCTCCTGAAATTAACTTGATGGATAGATATCGATATGACTTACTATGATTGCATCATAAGAACTTAATAAATGCAATCTTCATTTTCTCGTTTTACTTTTCTTCTTTTGACAAATTCTCAACTATCATTTTCTTTACAGTTTCATAAACTAACTTTTTTATTGCAAATTTTTTCCTTTCATTTATCGTTTCGGTTTCTCATCGAACGATTAATTACATTGTTACGATTTCAAAAATAATCGTAATGTGCGTGTGTTGCGATGAGACGTCTGAATCAAGAATAGATTACCGTTATGTGAAAAGGTCTTCATCAAATATTTTTATTTTTCCAGGATTTTCTTTATTTTTTTTTTTTGGAGAAAGAACAAGAAAGGAAAGATTTGCAAGAATTTTATTTGCCCTTGTTGTCGCTTTAAAAAAATTGAATATATAAAATATATATTCTATAAAATTGAATATATAAAAGAGTTTTTCTTTTTTTCTTCATCTTCTTGCTTCTGATCTTAAATTTTCTAAAATTTTTTCGAGAGAGTTAAAATTGTTCCAAAAAATATGCTTTTTTTTTTTTTGTGATTGATGCAGATATGTTGACTTTAATCAAAATTTTATTTTTACAAATCTTTTCCAAGTATAAGCAGTTTTTATCGATTCGCATTCGATCGTTTATCATACATCCAATCACCTTACTATGCTTTTTCATTGTCCATTTCTCTCTATTATTCAAATAAGTGATAAGAACGAAGTATGTCAAGAAATGAAATCAAGAATTTTTCATTCTAGTTTTCTTCTCTTTTTTCTTCTGCTGTATATGGAGAGAGATTTGGACGAAATTTCTTACTTTGTTGTGCTATTCATTTTTTGCTGTGTTCCATTTTATCTTAATTCAGTTGTTTATTGTTGCATAAGTTGTTTTTTTTTTTTTTTTTTTTTCTACTCTCTTTTTATGAAAGAATTCAAGAATTATTTAGTTTCATTTAAAATTTGAAACGAGCAGAGCTTTTCTCCTCTTTTTTTTTTTTGCTTCATTTTTTCTCATTATCCTTTCATCTCCTTCTCTCTTTAGAAGTCAAACAGACAGAATAGGAGTAATAACTTCTTTATATTCATTATTTTCTAATTTTTCGAATTAATAATGTTCCTAGCATATTATTTCTAATCATTTATAGATTTTACTCAAAAACAAGCCCACCATGTTTTCTCTTTTTTTTTGACTTTGCATTCAGTGATGTATAGAATATACTTCGTCGTCGATAATTTAGTCCAAGCAAAAGCATTTTTTTTTTTTTTTTTTGTGGTAATTTCTTCTTTTTCAACACTTTTTTTTGAGATGAATAGGAATGACATGCGACAGCTGTTGAATTATTTTTGAATTATGAGGAGATATTAATGATAATTGCTTATCTCCATATTATTTCAACAAAATTAGAAAGAGAAAATCGAGAAATGTTGCAGCTGATATCTTTATTTCTTTTAATCTTCCTTTCTCCTTTTTGTTTCGAAAACAAATTATAATAAATACATGCCTATATATTATTTCATTTTTTTCCTAAAAAAATTGCGTTTTCCGCCATTCTTTTTCCTTCATCCATTTCTATTATCAAAATTTTCCAAAACTTGATTTTTTTCTTGCTTCCTTTTTTTTCTTATCAAAATTCAAGATATTATGAGCGGCTTACTTGTGTAAATGACATGCTGTTAATTAGTAAAATGCTTTCTTTTTTTCGTTTTGTTTTGATGAAATGATGAAGTCATTAATGAGAGAAAAAAGGAAGATAAACGTTATTGCTATCAGTTCTTTTCTTTCCTTATCAATTATCGCCTCATTATCAACTTCTTTATGTCTTAGTTATCATTATTATCATCTGGTTAATAAATAATATTACCCTGCTGTTTAGCCCTCCCCACAATTATCAGTCCTTTTCTCCTCCAAATATTATATTATATATATATGTATATGTCTCCTTTTTCGCATGTCTTTCAACCATCATCTCGGTCTTGTAAATATCATACAAATGCATTACACGCACGTATACATACAACTACACGTACACGTATACAAACATACACAGTCTCTATCACGTATGTATACATGTACACACGCGTGCACGTACACACACACACACACACAGATATACTAACTAATCTTACAGCTTATGCGAGTATATTGTTGTTGTTATTATTACCGAAGGAAGTTAGCATATGTATAGCAAATTCTTTTTGTTTTGTTTGTTTGTTTTTTTCTTTTTTTTTTGTTTTCCATTCTGTATAGAAGATGAAATTTGTTATACTGTGTGTGATAGTAAGTTGATTAAGGAAAGGTAGAGGTGTGAAATTTAACAGACATTTGCTTTTTATTTCTGTTTCAAGGAGATAAATCATTTTTCCTCATACTGTGTGATATTTGAAATTTCAAATCACGTAAAAATAAAACGATGAAAAAAAGTGTCAGTGTTTTCTAATATTATCTAGAGATTTAAATCAGTAAATGGCGAATCAGATATGCATATTAATAATGTCTGACTTAATAATAATCTAATAATATTGACAGGAAAATTGAAAATGGAGGGTTTTTTGTTGTAAAATTAATTTTGATTGGAAATTACTATAAGAATGTGATTAGTGTCCAAATGTCTGGTCTAATCCAAGGTATATGATATATTATAATATCATATAATATTACATCACTATTCTAAACAGTGTAGTTTTTATATAATGTGATCCATAGATGAATTTTACTTTTTTCCTCTCGTTTTTAGTTTCGCCTTTTTTTTTTTTGTATACGTTCATGTAGTTTCGTATCTTATCCACTCTGCTCTCTTTGTAATATTTTTGCAAAAGTAAAAAATTTGTCAAAAAAGTTGAATGTTGTTTTTTACCTTTTATTGTTCTCAACACATTCAACATGATATATATATCGCATAAATTCGATTTATTTTTACAAGAAAAATGGAAAAGTGGGAACAGAATTTAATATTTTCCGATAGTTTGATGAAGAAAGTCTTAATTAAACGAAATAGGTCAAATTGATGTTTACGTGGCCATCCTGAATCCAAATGATACGGTTGATATGTAGGGAAGTAAGTAGTACAAAAACTATGTCTCACAAAGGTTGGAAGATGCTTAAAATTAGACGATTCTATTTCAGATATATCAAAGTGTCAAACTAACTACGCAATGCTAGTAAAATTTAGTGGACATTTATTTCAATAATTCATTTTCCTATTCGTTCAATCAATTCAACAGATTGTCTATTGTTGAGCGACTAAGCAACAGGGTTATTTCAAAAATCATTTACAAGGTTCGATGAAGAACTTATGAAGACAGATAGGAATTATTTATTGGTAAAATTTAAAATGAATGTTCCGCTCTTCATTCATTGCCTTGCTTTTTGCTCTGTACTCTACAGAAAAACAAGTCAGGAGATTAAATTATTTCCTACCAAAAAGTTATCTCAAAACCTGAAAAGTATAATCGAAATTGATGATATCAGGAATTCACTGTATAACGATCAGTTATTTCAAATTACTTAAAATCTTTTTGGATTAAGGAAAATTTTTACTCTGAACTTTGAAACTAATGTAGTAAAATACCAGTGAATATGTGAAGTTGTTATGATCAAAGATCATGGTATTATTGGTATTGCCCTCGGAAATTAGATACTGTAATCATTTTCACTGCAGTCATAATCATTTTATCATTGCAGTCCTCATAATTATTATTCAAACTGATAAGTATTCAAACCTATAATAATTGATTGTTTGTCGATGTCTACTAACTGTTGTCAGTATTCTGTTCCCTCTTAAATGCTCCTGGTCAATCGTTATCATCGATAACTGGACAAATAAAAGGTACCAAAGTGATGAATTAAAAATATCAGTACATAAAACAAATTATTTTCATTACAGTACTACACTTTCCGGTATAAATTGATCATAGCATAAGGAGCATTGTATAATAGCACCTGCAGCAACAGCGGTCGCTATGATAACAATTGTGGCAGTTGCTGATAAACCGATCGTTAATGCTACCGCTTTACTGTGTTTGATGATCTGAAGGAAAGCAAATATAACGTATTCTTGTATTATCTCTTTTTGTTGCAAAATAAAACTTTTGTAAATATTCCAACCGAAATATAAATTATTTTGTTCTTTTATTATTTACTACTACTATTATTATTAATTATTACTATTTATTTATTTATTTATTATTATTTATTATCACTATTTTAATAATTATACTCAATTATAGTATTATATGTTCGCATAGTTTTAGGGTAATGATTTCTAATTTTTATCTTGAATTTCAACTACATTCCCCAATTTAAAATTCTTGTCTTTTCTGGATGTCGTTGAAAATTTGAAAAAATGATTTTTCAATTCAAATTTCATTTCATTTGTTCTTTTTTTATTTTATTTTTTGGTTCTCATCATACAATCACGAGCATATTCAAGAAAATTAATTGATAATGTTTGCTAATAGAACTATTTTTCTTTTTCAGTCAACTCCCAACAATTACTCTAAATTCCCCTGTTACTTTATATCACTTTACTTTATATAATACAATGCGATACATGCTACCATGTCAGCCATGAATTCATCGTAACGCTGATGTCTGATACTTCTTTTGTCGATGCTTCGAAAAATTTCTCTTTTCCTATAAAAAAACCCTTTCCGTCTCAATAATATTAGCAATATGTCAACTATTTTGTCATCCGTCTCATTCTTTTTCTTTTCATATTAATTTGGGGTGTGTGGAAGGGTAACAGGTAAGAAAAGAGCAAAAAAAGAAAAGCAAATCACCGGGAATCTTTCCTTCTTATTTCTCTATAATCGTATGCGTTTGCAGTGTTTGCATTAGGATTGCCATGAAATGCCAAGGTATTTACTTAAAATTGATTAATTTGATAAAAAAAAAAAAAAATTCAAAATTAATTATTTACTCTTTCCTCTTTTTTTTGGAAATAGTAAATGTAAATAGATGTAAGTATACTTTGGCTAGCATAATTTTGAATACAATTCTTTCAGTCGTTTTTTTTTCTTCTTTCTTTCTTTTTTTTTTTTGATATTTTTAAAATTTTTTTAGTTGAGGAGAAAAAACGAAATTCTTCGCTTAATTTTATATCGTGTTCACTTTATTCTAACTCACTTATATTTGTAATGGTTTAATAGCAAATCGATCAAACTATAACAATAATCATTTGAGTTTAAGACTGAAAATATTTAGATTCTGCGTTGAAAATAAATTCTAGATTAATAATAATGAAATTCTAGTTCAAAATAAGTTCGATGTTTTAAATGATCAAATTATAGATTGAAAGTAATGAAATTACAGTTTTAAAATAGATGATTGAAAGTAATTAAAAATAGATTATAATTAATCGGATTTAATTTAATAAAATGTGAAAATGAAGCAGTCAGAATTATTGTAAAAAGTTGAAAGAAAGATACGAAGAAATTAATACTAAAAGTGATACTGAAAATTGTCACAAGAATAAAATAATTTTACCTTCAACATATTTTATGGAAACACAATTAGCAATTACAGTAAAATACCACACTAAACCGACTTTCATCGTTTCAAAAAAAACTAATGAATAATCTTTAATCATCATGTATCATTTATAATGCTTTTTTTTCGTCTTGATAAGTTGAAAAAAAAAAAAAAAACTGAACAAATTTTGCGTATAGCTGATTAAATTTTGAGAAGTTCCTAAAATAATAGCATCAATTTAATCGTTTAATGCATAAATGTTCCATAAAATTCTCAATTTTCTTTTAAATATTTTTTTCTGTTTGCTACTAAATACTTTTTGCTTTTTAGTTATCATTATTTTCTCGTTGATTTATCCTATGCATTCATTAATTCCCATTTAGATTGCTTATGATTTTAAAAAAAATTAATAAAAATTTTACAAATTTATACTAATTAAAATGTTATTCCCAAATTGACCTCCGTAAATGTCTTCTGAGATTCAGTTTTTCAAGAAAATTTTAACATTTTAAAATTTCAAAATAATATTTCGAAATTCTTCCATGTAGCTTACATGTTTACATGAATGAATAAATGATTTATTAATCCAAAAAAGTAACTGTCCATTTGACAGCAAATAAAATATTCAATAGAGCGTTATAGGAAATGAATGAAAAGGAAAAAAGTGACACATCTGTCACCTGTGTTTGTCCTTGATGACATATTGCGTCATTTACGCTCATTTGTCCTTTTCCTCTTTTTCCCGCATAGTGTTTACTTCTCTTTCTTGTCTTCCATCACTTTTTCTCCGTCTCTCCTTCACCTTTTTGCGCCACTATTAGCCATATGAAGAAAGAACAAAGCTTCTATCTCCTATTTTCAAATCTACAGTTTGATATATTTGCAGAGTTTCGAGACTGTAATCATAAATTTTGATCATGTAGATTAATGTGTAACTTAATTTCAATATTACATTTTTTCACAAATTATCAAATTTATTTAAGAGCGGGTTAGATTTCCTTTTTTGTTTCCTAATTTTTCTTAAAATTTCTTATATTTCTGATATTTACTCATTACATTGTCCTGTTCCCTTATGCATTTTTCCTCCCCATTTTTTTCTTTTTAAAATATTATTTTAATTACTAAATTACAATGACAACTACTTTGTAGTTGTAAATGTTTCAGTTGTTTTGAATGAATTATTTTAATAATTTAACTTATTACATTTTACACCATTTCGTTACTTTGTATGTATCGATGTTTCGTAGAAATAATTTCAATCGCTTTTGCAATTTTTCTTACAACAACATAAAACATAATTTCATCATTTCTCTCATTAATTAAATTACTAAATTACATTCACAACACTCACACTTCTGTTTAATTGTTCTTGTTTTTCCAAATTATGGAAATAGTATTCGTATTCGACTTAATTTGCGTTTCAATTTCATAACATTCTCAACAAAAAAAAAAAAAAAAAAAAATTAACGAATCAAAATTTCTTTCTTCAATTTTTTTCAAAAAAAAATTAATATAGAAATGTTAAAAAATGTATTTTGATAAAATTTGAATGTTATTTCTTCAAGAAAAAAAAGGAGGTTTCAGTTAATTAATTTTTCTTTTCTAGCACAGCAATGTCATTTACAATGGGAAATGAAACATTTATTGTAACTTCTAAATTATTTACGGAAAATCGATTACGTCTAGTGGAAATGTTAAAAAGTAAAGTTCAACCTGGAAGTGTTGTATTACTAAAAGGTGGCATTGAACAAAATCGTTATAACACAGATGCGGTGGATCTTCCATTTCGACAAGTTGATTTTTTCATATTTCTCTTTAATATTAAAAACTTTTCCTACGTCATTTTTTTTCACGTGGAAAAATTTTCCTACATCGTTTTTTTAGCGCTAAAATTCTTCATCGCGTCATTTTTTTACGATATTATTTTACAATTGTTTATCATAAAATACCACTTCTAGATTCGTCAGTGCTATCAAAGGTGCTTACTGCTAATTAATTATTGTTCATCTCTCTTTCCTATACAATCTTTAATTCTTTTTTTTAAGGAATCATATTTCTTTTGGACTTTTGGAGTTCATGAAAGCAATTGTTTTGGTGCAATTGATATTGATTCCGGAAAATCATTCCTTTTTCCACCACGACTACATCCGGATTTTGCTATCTGGCATGGAAAGTAACTTTTTTTTCCTTTTTTTTACATATTATTGGTGAATTATGCTGTATGTATATTTGCTGTAATATTATACGCATCTATTTGAAACTTCAAGAATGGAAAGTGATAGTGCACTTATTAATCAACGAACATAAATTACTAATTATTGAAATATTTATGTTATTAAAATGTAAAGATTTGAAGGTTTAGTATTATTAGCTTCATTATTATAGTGATTACTAGTAAATAATCAGTAATTTATTATTAGATAATTTTTAAAGCAAATTTCATGCTTTATTGATTTACTTCTGAGTTTTTTTTTTATCTTTTTCTTAATTACAGAAATTGTATTATTATAAAAAATTAAAAACAGCTATTATATGTCAATTTTTTTTTTTTCAAAATTTGAAATAATCACATCTTTCCAGCATCAATAATGAAGAATGGTATCAGAAGAAATATGAGGTTGACGAAGTACATTTCAATGATCAAAATATTATTATTGAAACATTAACAAATTTACATGCAAAGCATATACTGTTGTTGGTATGATTTTTCTTTTCATCTTCCAATCATTTACTGATAAATAACTCTGTTAGAATAAGTTTGACTGGTTGGAATGACAAAAAGTATATAAGATAGATTTAACTAATTATAACTAATTTAACTAATTATGAGAAGCGTAATGATATGTATGACTGATCATTTAACTGTATGGTATAATTTCTTTTAATCTATTATTAATATATCAGCGCTATGAACAAATTTTGTTGTATTAATTTTTAATAAAAATTTTTTTGAGAAAGCTAATAATTCGGATAGCAATGAAATATTGGAACCACCAACTATTGATGGATTAAATAAGTAGAAATTTTATGTCTTACTTTCTTTTTCTCTTTACAATAAATAAGAATACTGTTATAAACATGACATAAAAATAATTCCGATGAAAAAAAAAGGGAAAAAAATTCAGAATTATATAATTGTAGAAAGAATTGTATTAAGTTAAGCTGTTATGTCATCAATCAATAATTGATTCAGACTATTCATGCCGAATAATTTTTGATAAGATTTGATATTATCGATAATATGGGGAAGATTATTAAATGAAGATTTTTCTTTTTTCTCTCTTCTTTATTAAACATACTAAAGAGGTGAACATTTGTATTTTAGTTTACGTTTTGATACAGCGATATTGTATCCGATTATGGCTGAACTTCGTATTTTCAAAACTGATTATGAACTTGATGTAATGCGTTATGTTTGTAAGGTGTTTTTTATTTTATATTAATTCTCTTTTCCTTTTTTTTAAATACCCCACTCTTTAAGAATGAAAATTGTGTAAATTTCACTAAATAATATTTCAAAATATGATGAAAATTACATTAGTAAGAAAGAAAAAGTTGTATATTATTGTAATTAATAATATTATAATTATCAGATTTATTATATCAAGAAAAGGAAATGATTGCTACATTAGTAAATAAGAATTTAACAAAAAAAAAAAGGCTGCTATTTTATTTGGCCCATTTGATATTACTATAAAATGTATGGTGTTGTTACATTTATTAGTATGTTTCAGCTATATATATTTTACATGCTTTTAATACATTAAAAAGAAATATACAAAATTTAAATTTCTTTTAAATAAAAATATTTCAGGTAGCATCAGAAGCACATAAAGCAGTGATGAAAGCAATAAAGCCTGGAATGTATGAATATCAATTGGAAAGGTGTAAATTTAAAACCATCCTTTTTTAAATCTGATAGACTTTTGTGCCTCCATCATGTACTGCTGTTGTTCTTGTTCTTTTGTTTTTGTTGTTTGTTGTCATTGTGCTGCTCGTTATTGTTGTTGCTATTTGCTAATAGCATTATTGTTGTTATTATCACTATTATTATTACTACTATTATTATTATTATTGTTATTATTATTATTATTATTATTATTATTATTATTGTTGTTACTATTAATTATTATTATTGCTGTTATTATTGTTACTACTATTATTTAATTATTGTTAATGCCGTCTGTTGCTGTTGTCCGTTGTTGATGTTATTGCTATTTATTGTTGTTGTTTTTTTTTTTTTTTTGTTTTTTGTTTTTTATTGTTCTCGTTGATAGAAATTACGGGCAAATTTAGATTCGATATTCTGGCAAAAAAAAAAAAAAAAAAAAAAAACAAATTCGGCATTTAAAATTAAAAAAAATGTTTGAATGGAAAAAAAATAACTGAACTGAATAGAAACATGAAAATGACAATATCGTTGCAGCTTATTTCGACATTATTGTTATTATTATGGAGGATGTCGACATTTGGCTTACACCTGCATCGCTTCATCGTAAGTTTTGAGTTTTTAATAGTTACTTAATAGTAAGTAATTTAAAGTAAGTTTAAAACGAAATTTGATTTTTCATTTTTTTTTGGAGAAACTATTTTTTAATAGGAAACTATGTCAATATTTTTTTCTTTTTTTTTGCAATAAATTCAACATTGAAAGCTTTTGTTTAAACTTTGATTCTGTAAATTTCTTCAAGTTTACTCTAAGAGATCTTGTTATATTTAGTGGCTGTAATAGTGCGATCCTACATTATGGTCATGAAAATGCACCAAATACCAAGAAAATTATCGATGGTGACTTATGCTTATTCGATATGGGTCCCGAATATAACTGTTATGGTTTGTTGTTAATGCTTTATCCTCATGTGTTTCAAATATAGCAAATTACCTTTGATCCTTAACTTTGAATATATTTCAAAAACAAAAAAATCACCATTTTTTCTTGTTTGTTATCATATCTTCTTTCTTTTTTCACATTGAAAAAGGGAAAAAAAAAAAATGCCCTAATTAATACAAACCATATTTCTTCTTTTTTGTGTATTTTTTTTATTTTAGTTTTACTGTTTTATTTTTTGTTAGCATCAGACATTACAACAACATTTCCGTGCAATGGTAAATTTACGGAAAAACAAAAATTGATTTATAACGCTGTCTTAGCTGCAAACATAGAGGTATTTCAAGCTGCTAAACCAGGCAAGTTTCTTTGCTTACTACTTATTTTCTCGTTTAACATTGATTACTTGAGAAATTAGTTAATCTTACCGCAATTACTTGAATAATAAATTCGTAAGCTAATTAATTATTAATTAATAGATCGTTAATTACCACACATTAAGAAATGAATTAGTATTAATTAGCTAATCAGTCTTTCATTATTATTTATTTATTATTCGAAATACTGATATTACCATTTCTTCAATGCATAGTCAACTGATTCATTTCTTTTCTTATTTGTCTTAGTTCTTCATATTTAATTTAAAATTTTAATATCTTTCATTCTTAATATTTGGGCTTTTTTTTTTTCAATTTTTGATTATTTTAACCTTAACGTTAAATCTAATTTCAACTGAGCATTACACCAACTGTAATACAATTCTCCAAAATATTCCAAAATGTGACCATGTAATTTAAGATTGGATCATGTTTAAGTTATTTGAGAAATCTCAAAGATCTAATAGATACATTATTCCTAACGTAATACCGATCATAATAATTATTCTCTAAATTTTACTTTATCTAGAAAATTTTTTTAGATTTAAGTTACTTCGTTTTGAAAAATTCTGAAAAGTAACTTTTATTTTTATTTATTTTTTTATAATTTGTTTATATATATGCATTTTTTTTTTTTTGGGATTCAATTATTTTTGTATTTTACTCTTCGTGTATTCAATTAAATTATAAAATCGATATATGGGGAACAGAAAAGAAATTATATTTGGTCAAAAGATATTATATCTGGTTTACTTATATGGAATATAAATTTCATTTCTAGTCTTTTTTAGACAATTTTTTTCTTTTTTTAAAGAATTTTTTTTTTTTGTAGGGTTACGATGGAGTCAAATGCATATATTAGCGGAACGAATTATACTGTCACATTTGAAAGATGCGGGAATATTGTGCGGTGATTTAGATGAGATGATAGAGGCACGAATTGGCGCAATATTTATGCCTCATGGACTAGGACATTTCATGGGACTTGATGTGCATGATTGTGGTGGTTATCTTGGTGTTAGTCATCACTTATCTTCTAATATTTTCTTATCTGTTCAAGAAAACGAATTTTTTTAATACGAAATTTTTAACTAATAAATTAATATAAGACGTATACAAATATGTAGATATAAAGGATTTAAGTTTTTTTTAACTAAGATTAATATATATATAAAAAGTATACAAATATGTAAATGTAAACAAATGTATCATAAGCATTAATATTAACAGACTAAAATATAATTTAATATTAATTTATGAGGGAAAATGATTGTCATTTTTGTTTTTCCGGAGTCATTTAAGGTATAATAACATATTTCAGATTTTACAATTATAATTTACCAAGAAATTTGATTTTAAAAGTGGGAAGGAAATTCGTTTTCTTCCTTACATTCTTTTGTGGTTATCATATATACTTTGGATTTCCATGGATTTTTTAAAACTTTTTGTCTTATTTTTAGTTTTAATCGAAATAAAAATGCAGGCGTAAAATAATTTTCAGGATGCTGAACCTCGTTCGACATTACCAGGTCTTAAGGCTTTACGTACAACACGTACCTTACGTGAAAGAATGGTAATAACTATTGAACCAGGATGTTATTTTATTGATACGGTATCTTTTAATATAAATTTAATTTTTCAAGCACATAAAAATTAATTAATTATTCTATCTTCTGTTTACTTCTCATTTACTGTAATTTACTTTTTAACCATTCTTATTTGTTTTTCTTTTCCTTCTTTCCTTTTTCAAATAATGTTATTTTACTTCTAATGAACTATTGATTATAATTTTTTTTGAAAATATTTCTTAAATTTCAGTTATTAGATGCCGCACTTAATGATTCAGTACAAAGCAAATTCATTATCAAAGAAAAGTTAAATGAATTCAGAGGTTTTGGTGGAGTAAGCGTTTTCTTTTTTTTTTTTTTTTCTTCTCTTTTTTTACTTCACCTAGATTAGTTTATTCTCTATCAAAAAAAGCTAAATAAGCATAAATTATCCCCTAAACAAATATAATGCAAATGAAAAAGAAGCTTTCTTTCTAATCATTAAGTTTTCCAGCAGAAACATTGTTTAAATCTGATCATATATGATTAATTTCAGTGTAAAAATGATGGAGTTTTTATGCATGAATTTTATTCTTAAATGAATGTTCAACTTTTTTACTTTAGTCCAACTATTAGAGTCGTAAGACTGAATGATAAGTATTAGCTATCAGTTAAATTATTTGAAATTATTTATTAATTATTTTAATTAAGGTACGAATTGAAGATGATATAGTAATTTGGTTGCATGGCAATGAACGTATGAGCAATGTACCGCGAACTGTGGATGAAATTGAACAATTTATGTACGATAAAGAAATGAAAAATTAATTGATTAAATCGCTTCAAATTTTATCCAAAAGCCTGAACTAATCTGAATGATGAAAAAATTAGCCAATTCAATGGCAGTATTTAAATGTTACGTAAAAATTGCTAGCATAAAGTATCACAGTAAAATTGTTGGCAATTGAAAAGAAAAAATGTTACATGAATCTTTATAGTATATTTTATGAAGATTTTAATTTTGCCATATTGAAAATAAAGAAAAAAACTTTCCATTGAAATGATCAAAGTTTGGAAAAGAAGAAAGCATAATAAAATTACAGAAATAATTAAGAAGAAAATGTTATCTCTTATAGCAATTGAAATGTTGAGACGATCATCAGATTTATTTATTGTCACATCCTGTTGAATGTTTTATTAATTTGTGCAGTTTGCTTTTTATCATTCAATAATATCTTTTTTATTACTTATGCAATACTGTCACTATCAATTTATCAATCATAGATGCAATTAATCTTCACTTTACTAATTAAGTTATCATTGTTATAAAGTTTTATCATTCCCAACAAACTAAAATTAAATTAATGTTACCACTGCTTTAAAGCTATTGTTGTTATTTTTAAAATTTTGTGATATTTTTCAATCCATTAATGCTTATATTGCTTAATTGTTTTAGTTATTTTATAATTTTATTGAAAATTCTGTCATAACTTGATTCTATTTGTTATCTTTTATTCGTTTTTTATCTTTCCATATAAGAATGATTATTGTTTCTTCTTTATTTCGCTATCACATAAAGTAACTATAAATTATTGTCATCGCAATAGCTATTGCTACAAAGATAAGAGAAGAAAGACACGAAGTAATCGTGAATTATTGTCACCAATAACTATTACAAATTGCTGAGGAAAAAAATGTCATTATAGTAAGTGAGAAGCATATGCAAGAGTAATTCACTCAAATTATTTATCATATCTGTGCTGAATAATCATAATTATTCCGGATAAAAAAAAAAAAAAAAAAACAAGACATAATCCGTCTGATGTTTTCACTGCTAATTTTTCACTTTATCCGGCTTTAGAATTTGTTCATTTGAAAAATTTAAGTAATTGCATAAATATTATCACAGTGTCATTTATTGATGATCTCTACTTTAATTTCAATTTCTCATCTATGTTTACGGATGTGAAATATTCTCCCAGTGATTTCTCTTTCCTTTCTTCGCCATATATTTTGCAAACAAGTGCAATTAATCTTCCGAAATGATTGTAACGATCCCAATAGAAACAAATTATGAGATAATGGGCGGATATATTTCTCGTTCCATTTTCTGATGACAATTATTGTTACCTGAAGCGTTCATCCTTCGAATTATTGTCAACAATATCACCGAATTTCAGCTATCAATTATATTATCCAAAAAAAAAAAAAACTAAAATACGATGATTTTGATAAGATTTTTACCACTTGCTATTTATTTGTTTATTTTTTTGCTTATATATTTGTTTACTTATGCATTTATCAGTCGGTGCAATAATTACTGGAAAATTATGATGCCAATTTAGATGGAAAAAAATGTATTATAGGATGATATTATATGAATTATAGGAAAGACAAAAATATTATAAGAAAAATCGTTAAAAAAAATATTATGGGAAAAAAAATAATATTGTAGGATTCATTTCATATTTATTAATAATCTTTGGAATCATCTTTTATTTCCATTTCACTTTTTCTTAGTTTTATAATTTAGATAATTAATGGGTAAAATTATCCAGCAAATAGGAAAAGAAAATAGAGTCGAAAAATGAAAATCAATTCTTTTTTAAAAATCTAAATTAAAAGAAACAACGAAAATTGTTAAGAAGCACGTGACAGTTATTTATTTATAATGTTTCTTTTAAACATTTCCATACTGAATCGAACTTACTTTCTAAGCAGTTTCATTTCTTTGTTAACGAATGGTATTGCAGTTAATTTTAAAAGCAAAATGGATGGGTAATTAGATTTTGATAATAATGATGATAGTGATGATAATAATGATGATAATAATAATAATAATGATAATGATAATGATGACAGTGATGATAATGATGATGATGTGATGATGATGTATTATTATATTGTGGAAAAAAATTTAATATAAAAATAACGACGAAATTTATTACAATGTAGTGCTAAGCTCAATGAAAGATAATATTTCAAATTTTTGAAAAAAATGTGTGAAAAAAAACTTTTAAGTATTCTATTACAACATTCAACTTCAAATATTATCTAATGTTTAAAGCAATTCTATTGTTTATAAAGTTCCAATTAAAAAAAAATTTTTTTGTCCTAATTTTTCTTTTTTCATAATTCTAATTAATTTCCCTTCCATATAGTTCTAAATAATTTCATTGTTGAGTTTAGTAGGAGATTTTTAGTTAAGTTTTATCATATAATTTATCTATTAAAACCGAAAATGAAAACGGTAATAGAATTTTGATTGATTGTTTTAATTTTGAACAATGGCAGGGTATGCCGATTATTACATAAATTCAATAACAAACGATAAAGATTATAATATTGATTAGCTTATTCAAATTTTACCCAAATTTTATTGAATTATTTACTCTTATATATAGAATGTTATGGAATCCCATGGTAGCTATTGCATCTTATTACTCCTACTATTTTCATACATCCTTTATTATCATTAATTTGAAATTTCATAAGAATTAAGATATACTGTAGTATAAATATCTCCCATGGGACATTTCCCAATAAATAATTTCAATAAAATCCCTCTCCATAAGTTGCTACATCTATTTAAATTTTACTCAGCTGTACTGATTCAGACGTTAGCACGTTGGCTTAACTTCCAATTTTTAAAGTAAAATAAATGTTAATTGGCCAGTCGAAAAAGTAAGAATCTTTTTTAACTTGTCCAACTATTAATTATGAAAATGGAAAGCATATTGAAAACCGCACTTTTCTTTTTTTTTTTTCCGTAATCCGATATTGATTTGAATATTAATTTTCATTTCAAATCCAAAATTTTTAGCCTTTCAGTCTTATGATTATTTTTTTCTATCATTAAAATCTTGAATAATTAATATTCAGGTTGAATACTATAGTGATTAATTATTCACTAGATGTTTTAAAATTACGTTTATTTGTGTTAATTTCATTATCAAAATTATTCATCCAGGCAGTAATAACAAATCCAATTCATAACTTATACCACTTGGAAATTTGGAATTTTGAACCGATCTCTGATTTAATAAAATTTCTGAAAAGTAATTTTCTTCGCGCTAAATAAAATTAGTGTTCTCAAATTATAGTGTGTTTACATTTATTTATTGAGTCCAATGTCTTATTTACGTTCACGTATTGGATTACAATGCTTTGTTTACTTATTATATTCACTGAACCACTTTTTCTAATTAAAAAAAAAAAAAAAAGAAAAAACTGGTTAAAAAAATAATTTGAATGTCATAGTGTTATGTTATTGATTTCTCTATCTGAAAAATATATCTTGCTATCATTTTATCTGTACATCGGTAATTTCTAGTTTCGAAACATTCTTAATTATTATAAATGATGACGGTAATTAAGCGGTGATAAGAAATGATAGATACTTCATTGAAATGATTTATAACATAGATAGAGAGGTGATAAAAGGACAACATTAAGACCAAGTGTTTATCATTCAAAGCACATTCGTATAGATCATCAGTTCATCAATCAATATGTATGCTAATTATAACCAATGAATATTTTACTAATTCTTTCCCACAGTATTTACAATTTGAATTGATGAAATGATTTGCTGCTTTATTACATATTTCAAATGTATTATTTACTAGTGCATTTATAGAAAAAACATGAAGCAATTAAAAAAAGAGAAAAAGTTTTTACAGTGCAATTGTGCCAAGAAGTCAAGAAATGACCAAAAGTCTCTTTTTTTATTGAAATTGTTCATTGTTTCACTTAAGTTTATATTTAGTATAAAACTGCATTACTAATAATTTTACTTCTAAAATTAATGATTTGATTTGGTAAGGACCAATAAATGATGAAATTGTTAAAATATGAAGTAATACTTGTAAAATAATCAATTATAGTAATAAGGTCTCTGGAAACAGACAAATTACATTAACAAAATTAATTTTGCTGTTCATTTTTTATCTCCCTTTATAATATTACACTTCACTTTATATCTTAATAATATCCCCATGCAATATTTTAATTATAATTTCAATTTTTCTCTCAAACTATATTAATTAAATTTTTTTTATGATTCAAGTAATGAAATAATTTGAGAATTATTTTTCTCGAAAATGAGCTAAATGTTCAAAGAAGTTTTTTAAAATTTCAACCAATCAATCATTTCTGATCGATTTGGTATAGGATAACTGCTAGGAGCAATAATAAAATAATAATGGAAAAAGCAATAGCAATATTAACAATAGTAAAATAATAATAATGCAGATAATTGTTATCACTAGTTGGGGTAGCTGTTAAGGTTAACTTATACTTAAGAAGCCTTAGTAACATATGCCAGGCAATATGCTTCCCACAACTTATTTGGCATCCTTAAACTATATTATTTTGATAACATTAAACTTTACAATCAAATCAGTTGTGAAATGTTATGTTCCTATTAACTTATTTAAATAATACAGAATTATAATAGTAAATAATTGTTATAATTTACATTATCATACCAGAAATTTATTAATTATAATTGTTGTTAACTATATTTTATAATTTATTCTATAATATCAAATGCAATAATTATAATTTACAGCTCATATTTCATCGAAATGATTATTTATATAAAACAGTTAAGATTCTAACGTAGTAATTGAATGTAAAAACTAATTTTAATCATCTTCATCATCTTTCTTTTTATTCTTGTCCTTACACAATCGTTAATTTCAAATTAGTTCAGCTGTGCATCATTTTATGATAATACATACTTTCTCTTTTTCTTTCTCTTTTTCTCTTTCCCTTTCTCTAGCATGTTGCAATGAAGGTCATTCATTATTGGACAATGTCATCTC